ACGTGGATGTTTCGCTCAGTTTAATGATGTTGACCTAGACGAAATTCCGCTCGGTTTATCCAACATGGCATTCCGTCCATGCCACATCAGCATTTTCCGTCAAGGTTAACGACCTTAAGACTACGTTACATAATGGAGATTAATCATTTAACGGTACTCGATTACATATATTTTTAAAAAAAAGTAATTAAAAAAGTAAAGGTATTCAAAAGTACGGGTATTATTTAGTAATTAAAAAAGTAAAGGTATTAAATTGAGACAAGGGAAAAGTATAGGTATTTTACGGCGATTCTCCATTTTAGATATAAAAAAAGTTCTTGTTAATCAAATGAACCGTATTCAGAACTTCTTGTTGTTCTTTCCTCCGAGTCTTCGGTATTGTTCTGGTTGTCTTCGGCAACCAAAATGCGTTGGTCTCATCGATACAATATAGACAAGCTAGACGACCATGCGTTGTCCAACCAGACAACATCGAGTATGCTGAAAAATCACTAATTGTCCACATAAGTACGACACGAAGCAAAAAGTTTTGCTTTACTGACACTTCATATGCATCTACCCCAATACTCCAAAGGTCTTTCAACTCTTCGATCAACGGTTGAAGGAACACATCCAAACTTCTTCTACGATGTTTAGGTCTCGGAACTAATATCGAGAGAAATAAAAACTCTCTATTCATGCACATATCCGGGGGTAAATTGTACAGTGTTAAAATCACCGGTCATAGAGAATAATTCGGACCAGACATCCCAAATGGATTAAATCCATTCGTGCATAATACTAGATATACATTTCTAGACTCGCTTGCAAAATCAGGAAATACCTATTGAAAGTGTTTCCAAGCCAAACCATCAGATGGATGATGCATTTCTCCACCAGGCGTCGAATGCTCGGCATGCCACCGCATATGCAATGATGTCTTCTCGGATTGATATAACATTTTCAAACGATCTGTTATAGGAGTGTAAAACATTCTCTTCATCAAAGGAATTAACTTGCCTTTCTTTGAAGAAATCCGACGTGGTCGATATCTTCTTTCCCGTAGAAACGACATTCCATCAATTATGCATCTTCTTTCCAGAAAATCATACAGTTGTCTTCACAAACATCAATCTTTCGGTAAGGTAGACCCAACGTACGCATCAGACTCTTCGTCTCATAATATGATTATGTTGCAGTGTTAACTTCTGGAAGATACTGTTTAAACATCTGACTGAACTCATCCATGCATCTCTCCGAAAGATTGTAGTCAGTCTTTATACTCATCAGTTGCGAAGACAACGATAATCTTGAAAACCCTTGTATGCAACCTTCATATATCGGAGTATTCGCCGTGTAAAGCATGTCATAAAATCTTTTCGCTTCAACATTTGGCTCTTCCTCCATGTACAGAGAAGAGGCAGTGTTGGGAAATGCATCATCACCATCTCTACATATGGATTCCTTTCTTCTTCTAGAATGATTGCAGGCTACGCCGTATTTTGCACAAGTTATTCTTGCATTTGTGGAACATGTGATGATGACGTATCATACGTTTCTCCATGAGCCAGCCAAACAAAAATAGTTTGACATAAAACTCTTCTGTGCACGTGCTTCCACACTTCATACTGACTTCGCCATCTTTTATTCTCACATTTTGAACACGGACATGGTAACTTCGAACTCTCAACATACGACGTTTGACTTGTTGTAAACGCCATAAAATGTTATAACCCTTCCTCAAAATCACGCGAGATTTGATTACTATTAGAAGAATCAAATCTATTATACATCGACATTTTTTTTGGAAACGAAGATTTTTTTCTATACAACTCGAGTTATGCACACGCGGTTGATTTATAGTCAATTATTGTGACGAATTTGGGATAGAAACATCCGTCATGACAGAATTGCGACAGAATCTCGACAGATTAGCGACAGAAGTTAGGCGACACACGAATCATATGCCTACTAACTTTGCGACGCGCTGAAACTGTCGCAAATGTGTCGCAGTATTGTCGCAACGCACCGACTCTGTCGCCAATGTGTCGCACATTGTTTACGACAGATTCTTCTGTTGTATATTATGTCGGTAATTACCTACAGACATGTGTCGCAAAAGTTCCGTAGCTTTTTGTCGTTATGTGTCACAAATATTCCCAACAGAATCATGTGTCGCTCATCGTCGTAATTTTGCGACTCTTTTTGCGTCTGATTGTGACTGAAGTTCGATTTTTCTAATCTGTCGTTGTTTAGTCCCTCTCTGTCGCAAATTTTGTTCCGACAGAGTTGTCCGTCGGAATATCTGTCGCAAATAACAGTTTTTCTTGTAGTATGTATTGACAGGATGTTCATCAATGGGTACAAGCAGTTTAAGAAATCATATTCAGAAGACTTGCAAGGTATACAAGAATCTCTCTGAAAGTGGGTCTCAGAAAACTTTAACCAAAGATCATTTTGTAGTAGGAGATTCTAAACTTATTGTCCTTGGGTTTAATCAAATGGCATGCAAAGAAGCTTTGGTTAGGATGATCATAATGGACGAGTTGCCTTTTGCATTTATTGATGGAGCTATATTTAACCATTTTTGTACCGTTTCACTGTCTGCATTTGTGATTCCTTCAAGAAAAATTATGACAAGAGAAATCTACCAGTTATTCTTGAATGAGAAGGTTGTTTTGAAGAACTTGTTTAATGAGAACAAGCAGAGGGTGTCTTTTACAACGGATATTTGGACTTCGATAACAACAATGGGTTATATGGTTATCACTGCTCATTTTATAGATAGAAATTGGTGTTTCCACAGGAAAATAATTAGTTTCAGCCCTATATCGAACAATAAGGGGGAGACCATTGCAAGACAATTTGTGAAATGTTTGATGGATTGGGGTATTGAGAAGGTTTTTACCATTACCGCGGATAGTGCTAGTGCAAATGATTGTGCTATAAAGCTTTTAAAGAATAGATTGAGTGCTAGTGCAAATGATTATGCTATAAAGCTTTTAAAGAATAGATTGAATGCTTGGAATGCAGATACTCTTGTGTTGAATTGTGATTTCATGCATTTGCGTTGTGGGGCACATATTTTGAATCTGATTGTCAAAGAAGGGTTGTCAGATATAGGTGATAGTGTGACGAGCATCCATAATGCTGTGAAGTATATAAGATCCTCTGATTCAAGGTTATAAACTTTTAAAAGTCGAGTTGGAGGGGGCAAGTTTAATAAAGGGAGTTTGGTTTTGGATTGTGCAACACGTTGGAACTCAACTTTCCTAATGTTATCTTCTGCTTTGAAGTACAGAGAGGTGTTTAAACGAATGGAAATGAAAGATAAGCTTTATGAGGACTATTTTGGCGAAGATGTTGATTCTAGAATCGGTAAAAAAAAAGGTTTGGTCCTCCTTTAGAAAATGATTGGGAAAATGATCATCGGTTGGTATGTTTCTTGAAGATTTTTTTATGACTCGACTTTAGCATTTTCTGCAACTACAAAGGTAACTTTCACTTCTTGCTACAACGAGATTATAAAGGTTGAAACGGTTTTGTCATTCTTGGCAAATAATCCCGATCATGAAATGAGCAAGATGGCGAATATAATGAGGTTTAAGTTTGATAAGTATTGGGAGAGGACCGAAAAGATCAATAAGTTATTGATCATTGATTCTGTATTTGATCCAATGAGCAAGATAAGTTTTGTAACTCATTGTTTTGACAAGATATATGGTAAAGATAGTGTCAAAAGTGCTAATATGAAGTGGAGCATCATTGATGTGTTGCATAAGTTGTTTGATTCCTATTACGAGGGTACAAATACAAAACGCCAAGTGTAGAAGGAAGCGAAAGTCGACATATATCCGTTGGTAGTGCAGATTTATATGGATCGTCAAATAGTGTGAACGATGTTGATATTGATATGAGTTTCACATATGATGATGATTCTTTTGCTTCGTTTACCCAAATGATGGCGGATAAAGGTGTTATTGAGGAATCACCGAGCGAACTGGATATTTATTTGATAGAAAAGGTCGAAGTGATGAAGCCTAACAACTTAGGTTGCGAATTTGATATTTTGTCATGGTGGAAGGCGGTCAATAGTAAATTTCCAATCTTGGCGAAAATGGCGAGAGATTTATTAGTAATACCGGTCTCAACGGTTTCATCTGAATCAACATTTAGTATTGGAAGTCGCATTCTAGATCAATATCGGGGTTGTTAACCTCCTCATGCAATATCGGGGTCCTTACACAAAATTAGTTGATATCTCCTCTTATTTCTGACGAAAAACGTAGTTTTGGAGATTTGATCGTGGAAAACGAGTTTATGTTTGCATTGGCATATGGTATCCATTATATTTACGTTGTTTTATAAATATTATCTAAGTTTGTAATTTCTTGACTTGTTTATTTTTTGTTTGCATATAATTTCAGAAATCATCAGGATAAGGTGACTTGGGACAAGGTGACTTGTGTGTCATCCAGAACGAAGTTCATCAAGGTGATTCTCTTATATTCAGTCTAGTTTTCAATTTTGTTCATTAGAGTGGTTCGCAACATAGAGTTTTTGTACGAAAGGATTATTGGAGTGTTCTATGTTTAATTTTTATTTTTGATACGAGAATATTAATATTAGACTGATTTTGGTTCAAATGACACTATGAATATTGGTTTTTTTATTTCTCTTTAAGACAATTCATGAACTTTTTTATCGAATATTTATTTAGATAAACCGAATCGAATAAAAAAAAATCTGAACCGAACCCAAATCAAACCGACTAAAATTATATTTTCGATTGGATATGAATATTCCAAACCTAAAATAACTGAATCCGAATAATCCTATCCGACGCGATCGTCCATCCCTAGTACAAAGTAAGAACACACGAACCAATTGTTTGGTACGGATATCTTATTAATTCACAATTTTTTTGGGGGGTTATAACTTATAATACAAATAAAACAATATTGTATACGCGGATCTCCAAAACACTTCTTCGCCATTTTTCAAATTCTCTGAAACTCGCCATGAAATCCAACCACCACCGTGCTCCGCTGATCTCCTCCGCATCTTCCTCTTCTTCTTCTACCTCGAGCAATTCTTTTGTTTCTCGGCTCCTTCTTCTCCTGACTCTCCTACCTGTTTCTCTCGCCTGTCTCGCCTTCGTCCTCCAATGGCGCGGCGGAGGTCTCGCCACCTCGTCCGGTGATCTCGGATCCTCCACTTGGGCTCCTCGTGGATCGGATCTCAACCACGAGGTGTTTCCAGGCATGGAGACGGTTTCCTCTGTCTCTCCCAAGGTTCATCACTCGTCCTCCGATTGCTCGAATCTCGCTCATAGTTCTTCCCCTTCGTTCCCTTACTACGGAGACTGGAAGTTCGGTGCTGATGCCAATTTTAAGCCTAAGGTGAACCCTAAATTTCCCGTGATTTGATTTTCCTTTTGTCTGGGTCGATCCGGAATCTGAACTTCTAGATTTCTTTCTCTTAATCATGATCTTATTATAAGCCTCGAGTATTGGGTCTTGCTCATTTTGCTTGTTCTGTAAATCAATAGATCACATGTATTCCTAGGTTCTGGACTTGGGGTTTGTTAGTTGAGCGTTTCATAATTAGGCTAAATGTTCATGACATTGTTAGCTGTTTTTCTAATTCACAGATTTGTATCACGACAAGCACATCCGCGGGTTTGGATCAGATTCTGCCATGGATGTTCTATCATAAGGTTTTAGGAGTCTCAACATTTTACCTTTTCGTAGAAGGGAGAGCTGCTACTCCAAGCGTGTCCAGAGTTTTGGAGTCTATTACTGTGAGTGAAACTCCCTTTCATGCCCATTAATTTGTTTTAGTTTTATGCAATGCCTCCTATAGCACGCTGATCGCTATGATTGTGTATTAATACTTGTTCATCTTATACTAATGGTGGTGTTTTCTCTTTCAGGGAGTTAAGGTAATATACAGGACTAAAGAGCTGGAGGAGAAGCAGGCTAAGAGGTCAGTAAGCATTTGACTTGCTTTTTGTTGAGCAAATCTTTAGCTTAGGAATGAACTATAGAATTTTTTTTCTGAGGAAATTTTCTAGTTGGTCCTTTCTTAGCTCTAAAAGATTGTCTTTTTCGGATGAGGGGAGTAATAGAGGACATGTATTACGGTGTGACATGTTTGTTCTTGTATGCCCTTGGTGTATTTCCCTTCCGTTTGTTGTATATTTGTCTGCTGATCATTCTGCTTTCCTTCTGTCTGTTGTTCATCAGCCGGATTTGGAATGAGACATGGTTATCGTCTTTCTTCTACAAGCCATGCAATTACGAATTATTCGTCAAGCAATCTCTCAACATGGAAATGGCTATTGTCATGGCAAGGGTATGCATCATGATTCAATTCCATTCAACTGCTTAGTTTGTATACTTTGCATCTTCGATTAACACATATACTCTCCATGCTATGTATCAGGAAGCTGGCATGGAATGGATACTTCATCTTGACACTGATGAGTTGATATACCCAGCAGGTGCTCGTGAGTACTCATTGAGGCAGTTACTGCTTGATGTCCCTCCAAATGTGGATATGGTTATATTTCCAAATTATGTGAGTTAAACGTGGTTCATATGTCTGAAAAATCTCTTTTTTAATTAGTCTTATAAATGTTGGATGACATGCATATCATTGTGTTTGTTCCACCTGTGATCCGGCTTGCATTGTGAATAGATGTTTTGTTTTGGATTGTGTTATTCAGGAAAGCAGCGTTGAAAGAGATGACGTCAAGGATCCTTTTACAGAGGTATAACCCCTGCATGTTTCACTTTTTACTGTCTTAGTAAATCAAACTCAGGAGCTTTAGTGTCAACAGCTTTTGTGTCATAGTAACTTTTAGTATTTCTCATGACATAAGCTGGATGCAAGCAGGTGTCAATGTTCAAGAAGAATTATGATCATCTTCCAAAAGATACGTACTTTGGCATGTACAAGGAAGCGACACGTGGCAATCCGAACTACTTCTTGACTTATGGAAATGGAAAATCAGTTGCTCGGATTCAAGAGCACCTCCGACCAAATGGTGCACACAGATGGCATAATTACATGAAAACTCCCAAGTATGTATGATCTCCTTCTCAACTATCAGTAAAACTTATAAGATTATCATATTATAATTATTTGATTGTATTACCCAATGCTTGCCTTCTAGCATCTGTAAGTAGATCCAGATGCTTGGTGATCATTACAGTGTTTGCCTTCTCGATCTCAGTATTGCCTATGGCCATGGCTTCCTTGTTTGGTGATCTTAACGTTTGTTAGGTTTCATGTTTTAATATTGTGATTCTTAGTCTTGGTTGGGAAATAGCCGTCATTGATTTTAGTGAATACTGGAATGGAAATATTAATTAAGGTTTTACATTTTCAGTGAAATTAAATTGGAGGAGGCTGCTGTGTTACACTACACCTATGCGAAATTTTCGGATTTGACTTCCAGACGGGACCGTTGTGGCTGCAAACCAACAAAAGAAGATGTGAAAAGATGCTTTATGTTGGAATTTGATAGATCCGTGAGTCCAGTTCCTTACAGTCTTCTGCTTTTTGCTTCTTTATTTTTTTGGAAATCCAGACTCCACATTCCTATTCTAATGTATTTTATTTTACTTTCTTGACATGTGACATTGTAGGCATTCATAATTGCCTCAACAACAACAGAAGAAGAAATGTTAAACTGGTATGAGTTTTATATGCACAATTACGATCTTGTCTAATTTTGTTGCCTGCATTGAATCTTTTAACAATCTTCATATCATCAACATCGCCTTAATCAAAAGTTTATTTGGGATCGGACGCATGAATTCTTCGTTCAGTGGAAAAGTTTAGGTTCTGTTTTGATAACACAAATATGTTTGGTAACATGAAGTTTTGTTGGATCTTGTTTAGGTACCATGAACATGTTGTCTGGGGCGACAAAGAGCTAAAGCTGAAACTCCTGAGGAAGGGTATTCTGACACGAATTTATGCTCCAATGGTAAGGAATGCTCACATTTTTTACACAAATTCCAAACATTAAAAACTTCAGATTTTGAATTCACGTGTGAAACTCATCCTTTAGCTATAAAATGACGTTTTTATGTGTCGGCTTTAACCCATGTTTTTGTTTAATCTCTAGTTATGCATTCTCCTTGTCACGATTATTTGCCGTCACTGCAGGTTATAATACAAGCGTTGAAAGAGTCTGGTGTCTTCAGCTCAGTTATCTCATCAGCTCCTTCAGAAAATTCGAAGAACAAGCTCTTATCATCAATTCACAACAGCAACTCATCCAAAACTGCATCTCAGTCTGTTCCATCTGGACATCTCGAGAAGAACAGAGAGAATCAGCATGTCTCCGCCAGGCGAATTCTCGGTGCTGAATCAGACAACACACACGAACCAGCTGTGCCGCCTCTATCACCCCCCGGGATGGAAGGCTCTGCATTCATCACCGAGGATTAACGGGTTTCTGGCCACTGAAACCATCACTTCTCTTTCTCATCAGCTTTGGATATCGAATCCAACCTTGGCATTTTTCAAGATATGGGACAGTGAAGAGAGAGTGTGAGAAAAGGGTTTCTTGTGATTCTTCCCGATCCTAATCCAAGCGCTGCAACGTATAGTTGGAACTGAGATTGAGAGAGAAATTTTGGTTTTCACAAATCTCCTCGGCCGTGCAGCTTTGATGGATGAGTTGCAGCATTAATTTTCACATTGTTTCTCTATGTAATTCTTGTGTACAGAGTGTGCACCTCCATTGGTGATTAGACTCATCACTGCATTAATTCTATTCCCATTATTTTCTGATCTTATCTCACATATGGCCTTTAAATATATATATACATATGTATTATAAAGATATATAAAGATATATGAAGAATATTTGAGAAGATTACGTATTTTTAGGGATGTCAATTAAGCCCGGAGCCCGAAACCCGGCCCGAATCCGCCCGAAAATTATAAAGACATGGGCCTAAAAAATGTAGGCTCATTAAACTGCGGGCTTTCGGGTCTCGGGCCAAATGGGCTACGGGCCGGTTGGGCCGGGCCAGTCGGGTCTCGGACCGGGCTTGAGGCCTGTTAAATTTTTTTTTTCTAACCTTCTTTTCTAAACCAAAATTTTACCTCTCTATACTTATAAATATGTGTGCCCAAATATATATATATATATATATATTTGAACCAAATGATGAACTTTTATATCTTGGTTCCAATTAAACTT